CTTCTTCGTAATCATTATCCCACCAGCATCCTAGTTCAATGCACTTTTCCTTGTTCGCATTTGGAATTGGAAGACAATCAACTCGCGAGTGTCGTGGGGCGACGCGACCACTGGAGAGTCCAAGAGAAAGGAAAAGAATTTCAGTGATTCTCGAGACCATCTGAAGAATAATAAATTGCAGGCTTCAACTATCGCTTATTCGGTAGTCAAGAACAGCTATAAGACAAATTAAAATATAAAATAATAAACTAGAAAAAAAATTTTCAAATGATTGACATTTGTACTGTACTGAAAAAAATAAGTTGACGAACTCAATAAAATTACCCATCAGATAAGGTTCTGAACAGAAAAGTTGGAACATTGGCTACAGTTGCAATAAGTGCTTCATTTGTTAACTTAAGAGACATCATAACAAGTTAGTAAATTTTAGAAACAACAGCCAATTATTTTTCATTTAAACCAAAAAAAAGTCAAAGCTGAAGAAGAATTTTAAATGCTGAAAATCTATACCACTACCGATCAATTAATAAAAGAAGAATTGAGTTTATTTAGAGCCATCTAATCAAATCTGAAGTGCCAGCTAAAGTGTAAATGTCTGAAAATTAAAATTTTCAAATTCAAAGAGTGGCAGAATTTGCCCTTAACATCGCGTAAATCTCATTTTTACTCGGTTAATTTAACTCGCAAATAAAAATTCGATTATTTCTGATTTAAATACTTCATGAAATGTTGAAACCAGAAAAGTTGAAAAAGAATTTTTCTCTTGCCTTTCCAATTATATAATTTGTTAAAATATTGTACGAACAACGAACCAAAACTGAAAAGTACCACTGAAAAAACTGCCTTCAAGGTGAGCTGAAAAATTGTTGTTCGAAATCACCTCGACAAAAAAGCCACGAGACAAGATCAAGTCAAAAATAAGAACAAGGAAATTTCCAAAGTGGCGATGTTTTCCCGTTAAGAAGTATCAATTAAAAAAAAATAACACCGATAAATTTTAGAGCTTTGCAACGCAGCCAAAAGTGTTTCATTTTAGGCAAAGAATAATGCTGTAATATGTCTAAAAAGTTGGCCAAACAGATTAGAAAGGATTGTGGTTTTGCTATACATTTTTCATGTTCATGAATCTCAACGCGTTAGCTAAAAATAGAAGAAATTGACTAGTACGATCAGTTTTCTCTGTGACACGTAGACACGGAACTTAAATCCAAAAATACAAGTCGTTGAGCTCTTTCGCTTTATTTCCAAACATCACTGGTACCTGAAGTAACTCTCAGAAGAAAAAAAAAAATAACATTTCATCAATTCTCAAATTAAGAGAGCAAAATCTGAAAACCGTCCACTTTCACCTCTTCTTTACAGTAAAAAAATCTAAAAAAAAGTGAAAGACATAATTACTTCAAATTAAACTGCTTAAAGTCCAACAAAGCTAAAACATCAAGACAGAGAAGTGAATTTGCTACAAACTTTGTAACCGGAGATTTTCGTTAAGCTGTATTTGCAACATTCAATTTCCTCCTAATGACGAGCGTTACTAATTTTGCTGACGGTTTAAAAACTAAAGAGTACAAGAAGCACTTAAGTTGCCGTCTTCGTAGGGTATCTTCTATTTATCGGCATTACCCAAGAAAGAGAGAGAAGGAATTTTGGATCAAGTAAGCTACCTTATATGGGTACGAGGAAACAAGGTCAAGCGGAGTACTAGGGCCCCGAAAGAAAAACGATGGAAAATATTTCAAACACATATATAGAAGTATCTTTTTTTGCTCTGTCTGTCGTACTGAATTGTTGTGAATCCAATTTAACAAACTTTTGAGAAGAAAAACAAAAAATTTACTTTTTCCTCTTTTTCCAACTTCCAATTCGCTATTTCGTTTGCTATTATTTACATGAACCAAAAAGACACATTGTTTTTCTCACCAATAACCGATGTTACAATTGAAAACCTTTTAATAAAGAATAAGTATTAGTTCTGAAACCTATTACAGTTTATGAAACCCACCATAAAGCACCCATTTTTCCTCATACGTCTGACTATTTTTCGTACTTAAAAGTTTTCGTTTCATTTTATTCACCTTTCAGTACTTCAACAAACATGCACAATTTCCACGCACCTTTTACCTACACGATTCAAATATGACCAAATAAAACACTCCACTGACAGCAAAGTCGATTCTCTGTAATATAGAATATGTCGAAAAGATTCACACTCAAACAAGAATTTTAAAAAGTTTATTAATAAAAGTATACAAAGCTCCTAAAGATTGAACAGGCCCAGTAGTGACACTTAAAAAAAACATGGCCGCAAACACAAATACTCTGAATCCGTCAAACTCTCTGTATGAAAAATTATAAAAAGCCTTTTTCAATTTCTGCTACTAACCTTATGCAAAAAACTGCAGATTTGAGTGCTTCTGGAAATCTGACGACTACCTCAAATCTCAAGTCACGGTATTCTCTGCAGCCCACTAGAAAAACAATCTCAAAGAGAAGGGTTTGGCCAGATTTCTATGCCAGAATACACTTTTCCATGGAGAGACCTGAGAGAAAATAGAATTTTTCTCTGCTAGGTAAATAATCTGAAGGAAAACTCTATAGAGAACCAAAGGTTACTGAAGCTTATTGGGACAAAAGGAAGCCTAAACAGTACGCAGGCATTCCTTGCAACAGGACTGAGCTGCACAAAAGTGGTTTTTTCAAGCAGTCAATAATTGAAAAATTCAGAAAATTCTCTTGAAGGTTAATTATCAATATAAATAAGTCCAGATACCACTATCTTTCAAAAAAAAACCAAAATTAATTGTTTCTCATAACATTTTGGACAACCATCAGTGATATATTTATTTTCCTTCAAATAATCACTGCCATTACAGCGTCATAAAAAAAAAAAATAAAAAGAAGATTCTGCAGTATAAAGTTTTGACAAAAAAAAGGTTACCTGAAAAATGGAGCAAAACAAGTTGGTAGTAATCGCCAATTTACCACCATCGCATATCCTCGAAATACAGCTGATAGTATTTTCCGTGGTGAAACATACCGAAAAGAATAGTTCTTGATATCTAAAAGTATTCAGCAGTCATTATCAGCGATATTACAACCAAGATATCAAAAAAAAAGAAAGTAACAAGAGATAATATATTTCAAACAGAAAAGTCTTTAAAATAATTTGTTCTGAATAATAGCAGTCGTTTTGCAAACAATGAACGTTTCTCTAGTCAACAAACCCAAACAGTTATTAAAAAATAAAGAAACTTTACCTTTTTGGAAGTTGCAAATAAAACAGCAGTAAAATCACAAAACAAATGCATAAACCTTTAATGAAAACACCCATTTGTCTGAAGGTTTGCTATCACTGTTTTACAGCTTTGATGCCTATAAATCAAAATTATATGAAGAGACCAATATAAAACAAGAAACAATTATCTTCGCTAAATTGGCCAACTCTATACGTGACTAAACGGGACAGTTCACCAGACAGTCACGTGCAAAAACATTTTAGCAATTGCAGGTGCAACACTTAGCGTTACTGACTTTTGTTTTATTTTTATGTTTATATTTTCCCCGTTCCAAAAATAATTTTTTCTTCTCAATAGAAAACATTGAAAAACAAATTCTTTTAACCAACAAATTCTGTTCCAGTCTAGTCGAGAAGTCCAAAAAAAAAAAAAAAATATATATATATATATATATATGCAAAACAGTATATAAATACAAGCTGACTGCATTCTCTATGAACAACTTATCCCCTGTTTTATTAGGCAAAATTACTACACAGCAGACACAGCGATGAAGCAAAAAAGTGCAAAGGAAAGCACCAATATCCCTTTGAAAAAAAAAGCTGTAAGTTACACACCATGAAATCTAATCAAACAAACATTTGAGCGAAACTGAAACACTTGAAAACAAAAAACACATCAAAACTGAACTGTCATCAATGATTTTAATACTGTTATTATCCCGAAGAACCTTCTACGAAGCCGCATTTTTAATACCAATCAGTCGCAACATAAATTTTAAATTATATGAAGAAAGAGAAATACGCCCATAACATAAATTTCTAGGAAACGATATGCTGAAAACAGAGATCCTCAATCGAAGACCACGAAAACTTCCTGAAATAACTTTGTACCGTTAAAAAAAACTTGTTGTCTGCGAATGCCAATCACACGAAGTGTTAAGCACAAAAAAAAAATGCTTTCTTGCCTTGCACCTATAGTTTAGACTTGACAGTAAACAGTTTAAGAAATCTGGGTAGAATTTACAATGAGCATATGTAAGATTTTTTTTTTTACAATTTATAAGAAAATTTACACTACGGCAACAATTCCGAAAAAGAAACCCAACTCTTTTATGACAGCAATTGTTTTCCTTTGTGTTATCAAAAGTATTTTAATAACTATACGCTTTGCACCATACTCAAAGCAATAAATGTCTCACTGCTCATGGCTGTATAGCTGCCAATTTAAAATCTTGGAACAACTTAATATAGCATTACACAAAGGTCGAAAAGATATTTTTACTCTGAACTTCATTCCGTTGCATTTTGAAAAGGAAATTTCAGTCTACTATTGAAATGCTTAATTTACCGCTCAGAGCTGAACAAGCTACATTGTTGCCAGATTTCAAAAAGAAAAGAAAAAACTTTGAAATGTTGGCAAACAAGTATTAAGCGAAGAGCAGCTAAAGTAGCGTCAACAAGATCCAATTGCTATCATAGAATCCTTCGAGCAATCTGTTAACATTGAACAAGCGCGACAGATACAATCCAGACTTTACAGACATGATCTGGTAATAAATAATGACTTGACTTGAAAAATGAAAGACAAGTAATTCGAAAAAAAAAAAAAGGAAATGTGACCAAATGACTACAGAAAAACAACAAAAAATACCACCAAAACTTCTACTCAAGAGATAATTTTGTGAAGGACGACAGTTGCTATGCAATCTAGTATTAGCTAAAAACTGAAATAATTCTATAGTCTCCAAAGCACTAAGAATAATTATACAGGAAGTAAAAACAAAAATTTCTGCAACATCACATCCCTGGAAGGTCCTCTACGGAGAGCCATGACAACATCTGGCTGACCTTTTAATCGGTCCAGCAGAATCTGTTTCAACGTAAAAATAGAGCCAAATTTAATAATTATATCTGCCAGCAAACGTTGCAGGTATGGTACAGTGGATACCGGAAGTCGAAGTAAACCCGTCACGAAATTCGGAACACATTCTTCCAGAAAAGAAACATCAAAGTCTCTATTAAGCAGCTGGAAAAACGAAATGAATTGATCAGAGTTGTACCACTAGTGTTAAAAGTAAACGAAATAAAAGACATCTGTAAGAAATCTGATAAATCTGTAATTCTATAATATATTATCATAATTTCAATTTATTAAAACAGTGCGGAATTGACTGCAAATACGGAGCAAGCAATTTATCACAGGGTTTTACTTGAAAAATGCAGACATAAAAGTATAGAAGAGTGGGGGGAATACTCGTTTTATATGCCTCGGTGAAAATCTGCATATTTCCTTTTTATCAGTGATTCAAGTCCCAAGCATAACAACCACTAGCACCACTAACACAAAAGACTTTTCAAATTTGCTTTTGTAAATTCTCTCAATTTGATACTCATAACATCCTGTCCTCATTAGCTCTGACTACCAATTTACGCCAATTATCATCTTATTTATGCCTCATGCAGAGCAATAACTCTACAACTTAAAGCCCCCTCCTCTCCCCTAGAAAAAGTTAGAAGTAACGAGGAGACGAAAAACTTTCAAGATATAACAGGAGAGGAAAAAAAGTTAACCTGAAGTTAAAACTACCGCACTGTATAAATTTTAATATGAGTGAAATAAGTGCATAAAAAGATTACTTCCAGGCACCTTATACAAAAAAGCATGAAATCTTCCTGTCCTCGTGATAGGCAAGGAAGAAAGACTTAAAAACAACGACAAAACTGTTGCTCAACAATTAAACAGGCAGCTAAAAAAGGCTGATAAACATTTTGCTAAAAGGGGCAATGCATTTAGAGCAGGAGCCAATTGTAACACAAAACACCCAACAGGCAACTCACGGAACTATGTCCCTTTACTCCTACCTCTGTTTGCACTTTAAAGGAATTTAAACGACAGTTACATACCTCTTGCATATTTACCCTTAAAATTTTAAAATGCGTGCGTCACCAAGACTTAGAAGTACAAGCAACATTTAAGAAACTTATGAAATTAGCTTAAACTCAAAAGAGAAAAAAGAAAGATAAATTAAGGAAACAAGGAAACAAACACTAAACCTATTTGACAGAGAAGTGAAGATATCAAATAAGTTGCAGAAGTGAGAGGAAAAACAGCGAAACAAATCATTCACTAATAAAATAAGAAAGATTACATAACATCGCAGTGTTACAAGAGAATTAAAAAAACCTACAATGCCTTGCAGATAAAGTTTGCAGAGCCGGACGAAAGGTGAACTGTTAAATTCACCTTTATCTGGGTGTCGAAATATCAGTACTGAACAAAACTGAAAAATATATGACACATTTTTTGTACTATTTTCTGCCTCCTTAAGATCTAATTTCTGCAAAGAAGCACTCAATCCGGGCACTACATCCCCTAACCAACGTTCCAAATAAATTTTAGCAGAAATCGAACTTCCACCAGGCAAAATAGCCAACTTCTAAAAAAAAATTGTAGGCATAAAAATTATATACGAAAGGATACGCCATACCAAAATACACCAAAAGAAATTTTAAACCATGAAATAGAAATTAAGAAAACTTCAGTTCCCTTTGCACTATAAAATTACCTCAAATATTCTTTTGAAAACATCAGAACTGCTGGAATAATTACAATCAAACCCTGTTACCGTAATGCCTCTATCTGCCAAAAATTCTTGAAAACTAATGAAAATGAGTCGTGAAACGTTTCGTAAACCTGCAATTTTTAACCGAACCAGTAAAGTGTAGACGTCAGCATGTCGATCAAATATAATTTCTTGTATATCAAATCACCTTCAGAATCCGGTTTCGAAAGGAGAACATACATCCAAACAGGAAATAAAGTCTCGAAAAAGAAAATAGAATTTGGTCCCGAGTTTTGCGAAAGACAATCAAGAAAATAAAAACAGGCATTGACCGACACATTCTTCTTAATGAGTAACGCTTTCACAACTGAACCCATCTTTTGAACAGCTATTGAGCGATTTTGAGCAGAAATTACCTTCAACTGCAAAATGCCCAAACTAATATAGACAGCTAATACGTTAAAAAAAAAAAAAAGTAATTGGAGCAAAAATGTTCTTATGGGAGACCTGGTGAAACCAGACTGTTACCTGACAAGCAGTAAAAAAAATTGCTTGACTCGAAAAAGACGAGTTCAGTTTCTTTACTGCTATATTCCAAATTAGATCACTGACATTATTATGCTTCGCTAATGCTTCAAACATTCGACATACATCCACGTCATTCATACATTCCAAAAACTTCGCAAAATTATTAGGCTGAAACTAGACCATATGTATCACAATTTTAAAACTGATAATTCAAAACCAATTTCTTACAGGTACTCGCCTATCGCACACATATAGGTAATTTTCCAAGTAGAATACGCTATGTTCTACCTCAGAAAGCTTCTCCATAACTGAAAAATAGTAGTTTCTTCCGTATTCTATCTTACATGTGGATTAACTAAGAATACTCTAACAAAAAAGAACTGTAACTAACTCACGTGAAACTAAAGCACTGATAATTTTGCTATCATCTAACCGTCTCTCCCGATGCAGTTCAATGACAGCATGAAGACCACGTAATAAAATACGGATGTGACTTGCCTGACAACTTTCAAACGCACTTGCAAATAGCTGGAGCATCCTTTCGCTTACCTGTTGTAGGTCTAAAGAAAAAAATACGTTATAAAAAAAAACATAAGTCTTCCGAATTTATATCTGGGAAGGAAATGCACCTGCTGTAATAGCAAATGAAAGAAAAACTGATATCAACTGAACAAGGCATTGCAAAGGCATTTTTCGTAACTTTTTAACAGTAAACTTTGCGAAAAGATGTGATTTCAACGACTGCCAAGCCACATCTGAGCCTGAAAAAGAAGCTAGACTGAAATAACGTTATAATAATAACAAAAAACCTCTGGATTCTTCAAATTAATTAAAATAAGCCACTTATTTGCTATTATTTCTGTATAGTGTTAAAGAAGCGAAATGTATTTGCGACATCTTCGACTTACGAGGAACAAGAATAAAAACTATTCGAATAAACAATGCCCACAGGTCGGAACGATCAATATCTCCCGACACCCCACTGCCTTGCCTTTGGATAGAGTTCAGCCACTGCTTACCACTTTCAGGCATAAACGACGAAGTCTTGAAAACAAAAAGTATTAAACAAAAAAATAATTCGTTATTTATTCCAAAAGATTTTACCTTTGCAAAAGGATCTACCAACCTTTGCGCCAAACGGTTGAATAAAGTTTTTAAAATCAGTTCAGCTCCAGGCACTTCGTTTTCACTACACCCCTCGAAGAAAGTACAGAGCTTGCTTCAAATCAAATACGCTTGTTAAACTTCAATTTAATAAAATAGACAAAATATGCAATAAAAATAAACTAAAATTTTATTACATTAAACACATAGAAAAGACAAACTTTAGCACAGTTTCATCATCGGGTATACGAGAAACTATTTTATCCAAACAACGCATGCAGTCTTTGGGTGTCTTACCTGTAACACTAATTCGATACTCGTTGAGTTATAGTTGTCTCAATGTAAGAGCAATGAGAACCTAACCTTTTGCTTGTAATACACTTTTGGAAATAAACACCGCGAAACATAAAAAAGTACTTACTAAGACCGAGAAGGTTCCCGTATTTCGGTCCTAAAGCACAGAAAACGTTCAAAAAAACTGTCGCATCAAGCGTGCCACGAGCTTCGTAAAGGTCAAACAGCATAACTTAAATTAAGGTATAACAAGAAACTGACAATTCTAAATCAACAAAGAATGACTCTGCAAGTGCTAGAAAGCAGTGACCATCAAATAAAAAAGGAAGTACGAACAGGATGCAGGATTCTCCGGAAGTGGACATGCTTGTAAACCCAAACATATGCCAAGCAGAGATTCAAAAGTTGAAAAGAACTCTTCACCAAGTGTGTTATGTAGCTGGTCCCAAGCCTGCTTTACACAATTACAAATGAATGAAACCCTCTGAAAAACAATCTTCTGAGAGAGCACTGCTGTTAGCGAAACTTTTTATATTATGACCAAAAAAGAAATAAAATGTTTTGGAGGTGAGGCAAAAAGGAATATCTTGTAAAAATACCGTCACTCTAGTAACAACAAGAAGGCTGTAAGCAAGAAATAAAGCTATTTGGGATACTAGCGAGGTCTCATTCGCTAACGGTGGGCACAGTAAGTCCGCACCAACAGTACCTGAAAAGAAAATACAGATGGACAGGGAAACGCCAAAAATATTAAAGTCAAGTGTGCCAGTAGTAGAAATTAAAACAGAAAATGACCTTTCAAAGTAAAGAAGACTCGAAGGGCAGTTGTCCACACAAGAAGGATGGAGTGGAAACGACAGTTCTGAACAAAATAAAAAAAAATTATCACAGTTAAAGAGGCGTAATGCAACGCTAGAATTAATTACAAACAAAAAAGCACCCAAATTAAAGTGAATCTGCGAGAATTTTAGTAATAAGTACATTTTCGATAACTCCTGTGCTAAGCGTGTCACTATCACAAGCATACTGTCCCAGCGTTCCCGTTCGGACCAAAAGATTTTTGAAACAACAAGCAATGAAACTGAGCGGAGCTAAGTCACCATTAAGGGTTAGATTCTAAAACCTTTCCTCTATTAAAAATCGAATACGACTGTGCGAACAAAACTAAAGGTTGTGCCTTTACTTCATCATTTGGATGAACAAAATTACTTTTACTCTTGTGTATTTCAAAAAAAAAATTAGAAGAGAAAAACGCGCTGAACACGACCTGAACAGCCATACTAAGGTAAGAGAGACATTTATCCAATTCTATCATTAGAGCTTCTCCTCCACCAAAAGAAATTCCGCAACAGAGTTTTTGTATGTAATGAAAGGTTTCCCGGATTTGTTCTTCTTCTTTTAGCTAAAATTAAATGATGAAATGAGTTTTAATTTGGAGTCAACTAGTTAAGTCTTAAAAGTCCTATATTAAAAGTACTGATTGAAACTTCCGAAAAAATTGATTTCATTTGACACGCACCATGTGAAAGGAAATGGAAAATCCCAAAAGCTTTAGGTAAGGCGGAAGAGAATAATGGATGGATGGAAGCGATGACTCTTCACATGTTACGTCAGGGCAGCGATTTAGACATCGCCAGTCTGTACAAAGGTATTCCGGTAACGCATTTTCAGATGGAAATAAATCCATTTGTGTCGTATACCGAACTTGATACGGCATTTTTGAAAAACCTAAATGTGCAGTATACAGCAACACCTAGAGATGCCAGGAAAAAGCTTATTTTATGGAACAGCTACCACTTCTCACATAAACGACCATTCACTGCAACTAAAACAATCACAATTTAGCTTCCAAAAACCCTACTTTTAACGATGATACTTCCAAGGTTATTATTACGGCATTAACGCAAACATACCCTTCAGACAGATGTGCACAACACCGTAGAAAGACCAAGAGACTGTTGGAGAATTCAGATGAAACTTAAACCCCCAGAAAAACCCATATTGTTGGTCCACCGTCAATATGTCCAATTCTTACATAGTGCACACATTTGAACAAAAAATATTCGCGGATTTTTCGAAGTACATTTTCCCAAAGAAAAACTTGACAGCTCAAAATTCTGATAGCAAATTTCCTCGTTTACGGTTTGTTGTATAGGCCATATTTCTAAGTTGTTAGGAGTTCAGTTTATACTAATGTATATTACACTGAGCCGTTAGTTCATATGCAAATTACCAAAGAAGCAAAAACTCGAAATTTGTTGTTAAAATTTTGCGCTGTTGAGTTCTGCTTTACGCGATTCGCTGAAGGAATTTACCTCTAAAAATCCGCGAATATTTAGTGTTCAAACGTGTTTATTATGTTAAACTTTGGTACATCAAAAGTAAAATTTCTACTTGGGTCCCGCTGGGGTTTAAGCTTTGCCTGAATTCTGCAGCATTGTGTTGGCCTCTGCATATTGGTATCTGTTTGCTTGCTGGTGTGTTTGGAATAGTTTCGTAATGAATTTTAGGAGTTTTTATCTTAAAAGTAGGATCTTTGGGGACTAGATGGTGATTATTACACCTCTGGTAGATCATTTTTTATGTGAAAGAGAGCAGAATACTCAATACCCTCAATAATTTCATTAAGCAATAAAATTTCTTCCTCAAGATGGACTTCCTCAAAATTTCTAGTCACCGCTGAAAAATGTTTTATTTAGATTTGGCTAAAGTTTCGGATTTGCCAGATACATTTCAGAACATTTACAAGCAAGTTTGAAAGTTCAGTGTTATTTTTTTCGGCTTTCACCGTGGCTCGATGTTCAGCTTTTCTCAAGTTTCCAAATTTTTTCCGCTGCAAAAAATGTTCCTGGTTGTCAACGTTTTCATTTTTTCTAAAATGACTGTATTTGCGAGAACTGATCGTCTTCTTCGTATTTTTCACTGTTTCCATAAAGATTACCTGTTTTTTACTTTGACATTTTTGCGTTGATGAAAGTTGGGTTTCCGGCTGTACCTCTTCCTTCCAAATTTTACATAACCGGTGATGGAAGTAATTTTTAAAGTAGTTTTTTTAGACAGTTTTTGTTATTTATTTTGTTCTAAGCTTTCGTATTGGAATACAGAAAAGTGATAAAAACTTTTTCGAATTTTTTGCGCTTTCCTTCATTTTTGTGAATTCCTTTGAATTATTGCGGCTTTTCTGGAAATTAATTGTAAAACCCATTTTTGAGTCGCAGTTTTTCCGATTTGAACAGTGGTGATTCGTTCTTTCTGCATCATTTGCGTTGAAGAAGAAGCCTGCCCAAATTTATTCAGCCCTTTTAAGGCAGTTTTTGTAAATATTGGTTGCTTGCTTCACAACTGATTTCCAATTAAATTCAAAATGCTTACCTAACGGCTTACAATATTTTTGAAATCTTAAAAGCAGGGTACTGCGCACCTAAAAACTCAATGATCAAGTTAGCTAGGAGTCCGCTGACAAGAAAATTGCATTTTATCTCTTCCCCGACTTCTGCGAAATACTTTTTCCTTTTCATTTTCCAGTCTTCTGTAATTACAGGGATCCTTACCGCTTTCTATCTCAAATAAGAAAAGCAAAATACTTATGGGGACTGCATTTCCAAAAACAGCTTCTACACAGCTGGTCAGCTGTTATTTTGTTGCAGGTAAATTTCTTTCAATAACTATTTGAAAAATTCTCCATTTTGAAGCCCACCTAATTGTGAGCCATTTTAACGCAGTCTCACGCTTTCACAAGCTTATATTTTGTATGATTGTTAAAACCGATTGGACTTAGCCACAAGTATGCGAGACCGGAGTGCCTGTGCAGCTGACTTCCGATTACACTGCCACTTGCAAGTGAAAGGTATTTGGGAGAGACATTAGTCGTTATTCTCAACTAAGACTTGTCCTGAAAAGAGCAGTTGAATAGTTAATTTGGGTCACGGCAAAAGGTCTGTCATAGTGATGAGCAGCAGTAGAAGCCACCAGTTGTTTGGTTTACATGAAGGGCCTTTTCAGAAGTGAAAA